GGGGGCGGGGGTGTGGGCTGGGAGCGGGGGTGGCGGGGTTGGGGCAGGGCCGGGGTTGTTTTTGCGGGGGCGGGGGTCCGGGGTTGAAACCCCTACCCCGGCTTGGGCCGCGGGGATCCCCGCGTGACAACGCTGCCCACTAGTGAACCGTCCCCAATGGTGTCTTCACGTTTCTGATGGTGCGTAGATGCCGACTGTTTGGTAGTTGTTCGCTGGGCTTGTTCCGATAAGCAGTGGTCTGTGTGTTAAAGTCAGTTCACTAGTGGGGGCCAAGTGTTGTGCTTTACGGTTTTGTGCGTGTACAAATGACACTCACTAGTGAACCGTCCCCAATGGTGTCTTCACATCCCTGATGGTGTGTTGATGCCGACTATTTGTCAGCTCTTTGCTGGGCTTGTTCCGATCAGGAGTGGTCTATGTGTTAAAGTCGGTTCCGTAGTGGGGACCAAGTGTTGTGCCTTACGGTTTTGTGTGTGTACAAATGACACGCACTAGCCAACCGTCCCCAATGGTGTTTTCACGTCCCCGATGGTGCGTAGATGCCGACTGTTTGGCAGATGCTCACTGGGCTTGTTCCAATCAGTAATGGTCCATGTGTTAAAGGCAGTTCACTAGTGGGGGCCAAGTGTTGTGCCTTCCGATTAGCCCTATCCATTATTCATGGGCAACCTCGCCCTAACATTGCACGCATCACACACACTATCGTGGAATCTGTTGTAGAGACAGACAAGAAGGCACCACCAACCGCTAAGCGCAACAGATATGAGTAGTATGAGTCTATAAGAGAAAGGCGCTGGCCAGTCGTTTTGTGTTATGGTGAGAGACTCATGTCAAACATTATCATTAGCACATGCACTGTTAATAATTAGGAGACAAACTTTTTTTTTTTCTCTCTTTTTTTTTTTCTCTCTCCCTCTTTTTGTGTGTGTGTGTGTGCGTGTGCATGTGTGTGTGTGTGTGTATGTGTGTGTGTGCGAGTGTGTGAGTAACAATGTACATCTACGAAAAATGCAATGAGAAGGAACGAAAGAAAAAAGAATAAGGGCTTGATGACTGTCAAGTGAAGCAATGAAACAAAAGATGAATTGAGCGAATCTTGAGCAGAAGATGAATCCTACGTGAACGCAGAAACAGTCATTAAAACGTAACATTGAAATAGAATAACATTGAACATGTTGCTGATGAAGTTGATATGAACATATTGTCCTGCTGTTGTTGTGCATTTGAGGATCGGAACACAAACATACGTAATCCTTTGGAAATTGTTACAGGCCTCAAGAACATAAGTGCAAGTGGTTCGTAAAGAATGTAAAGCGCATCTGCTACGAGAACAAAAAAAATAAAAGTATGGACGGTGCATGTATGTTGTGCGACTGTGGTCGCCTTTTCAACTCGTTACGAACATTGAACTCGCATCGAGCAAGGGCATGTCCATCCGTCACATTGCATCGGACTCCAGCAGATGAAACTGAAAGGATGAGCGACACACATTTGGAACATGATGTTCCCACGAATGTTGACATGCCGGAGAACAACGCATTCGAAGCACCGTGTAACGAAGAAGAAAATGCACCATYCGAAGAAGAAGAACCGAGGGGTGCTCCGACTTTCGACACGTCGTGAAGACTAGTCGCAGTCATGTTGTCCGCGAGGGGTGGTGTCGGCATGTCTCAGAACGATATCGATGCTCTTTTGTCAGTACTAGGAGATCGTAGATTCAAGGCACATGACATAGCATATCGTAATAGCTGCGAATGTTTACAATGGGCAAGCACCCAAGCCGCGGCGAATGGTTGGCAGGAAATCGACCTTAGAAGCGACGACTGGCCGTTAGAAGCACATACCGTGTTGTGGTGGCGCGATTGGCGTGCAACCTTCACGTCGTTGTTCGTGGCAGCGACAAAGAATGTGAAAACGCGGTTCGACTTAGAGGTACCCCCACCTTCACATAATCACCGCATATCTACTGCCCGCACTGAAAGTTTGAACTACCACGTGCAGACACTCGTGAGAGTAGACAAGGGTTTCGATAGGGATGA